TGGGAGCAAAACCAGAGGGTCTCCCTCTGCCAGACATTTTGTTTTCTGCAGTTAACCACACAAAGGGACCCTTTCTGAACTTGTAAATTTAAGTTCAAAATTAAAACCTATGGGGTTGATTACCTATTACAATCACCCTGATCTGAATGTAGTATAAAATTATTTTCTGCTATGTGCCTTTCTAAGAGAATAACATTAAATACTATATATATAAATTTTATATATATATACATATGCATATGAAAATTCAATAAATCTTACTATAATTATTAAAATATTATTATTAAATCATTTAATTCTTAATACTCCACTGATTATAATGCAAATATTGTAGTGATGATACCTAGACTACTTCTAAATATAATCTTTGCCTCCTGAACTTTAATAATATAGATTAGTTTCTTTCAGCTCCCTGCTTCTTTTTCAAAGTAGTAGAAACTTTTTTTCTTTTTCAAAAAGAAAATTATGTAGAGTCCAATATTGTGAAAAATAGATCATGGCACAGCCCTGCTGCTGACTCCAGGCTTTGGGGACCTTGCTTCCATCGCCCTTTGCAGTTCTCGAGGAATCTCCAGAAATCCCAGTTTGAAAACCATTGCCTTAGGTTACAAAAACCAACTGCTATGGACTGAATGTTTGCCCCCAAAATCCATGCATTGAAATTCTAACCCCCACTGTGATAGTATTTGAAAGTGGAGCTTTTGGAAGGTCATTAGGATAGGGTTAATTCCCTTATAGAAAAGAAGAGAGGTGATCTCTTCCAAGTGAAGACCTAGCCAGGACAAAGGCCCTTGCCAAGCACCCAACCCTGCTGGCACCGTGATCTTGGACTTCCAGCCTCTAGAACTGTGAGAACAAAATGTTTGTTGTTAAGCCACCAAGTCTATGGCGATTACTTATAGCAACCCCAGCTGAGTAAGACACCAACTCTTTTAAAAGATCTTACCAAATGATTACATTTTGACAGCTGGACCAGAACTGTGAGAACAAAATGTTTGTTGTTAAGCCACCAAGTCTATGGCGATTACTTATAGCAACCCCAACTGAGTAAGACACCAACTCTTTTAAAAGATCTTACCAAATGATTACATTTTGACAGCTGGACCAAAGAATGGTATGTTAATATGGAGGAAGACACTATTACTTAATATATAGTTGTCTATTGTCAATTTAAGACAACTTGAAATTTGTGGGAGAATTTTAGTAAAATTACAAACATAAAAATCAAAGACTTTAAAATTTGAACAGCCATTTATTCAAGAAGCATTTGGGAACCTCCTCTTGATGTGTGGCAGTGGGACGACTGAGGGGGGCTGAGATGCTGAGGAGGGTGCAGCATGCCCCATCTGTGCACACAGCTCTCCCCCAGCAAAGAATTGGCACAAGCTCATGTGCACCTGTGGTACAACATGGAAAGGGACAACCAGTGTCTGGGAGAGGGGCAGGAAAGTACTTTGTAGAACAAGAGATGATTTGCAGCAGGAGGGTACAAGATAGATTTCTTGGAGGAAGGACACTTGAACTGGGCTGGGAAGGAAAGGCGGGACCAGGCAATGAGGGAGCAAAAGACAAGCACAGCAGCACACCCAGAGAACACTGCAGTAAACATGAAAATAAAGATTGTACACAGTTAGGGACAAATCGGTTAATGGACACAAAGAACATATTTTGCAATGACGAATATACTAATTATTCTGATTTATCAGTACATATTGTATATAAATACTGATAGTCAACTCTGTACGCCACAGATATGTGTAACCAATTATGTTTCAAGGGGAAAAAATGATTGCATGCACCTCTGCATTGTTTGAACATAGAGTATCAAGTGACTTGGATGCAGTTTCCTTTATTGTTGTATGAAACGTTTACACTTTTTCAGGCGGAAGCTGACAGCATTGTGACTTTGCAGTCATTCAGAGATAAATGTGAGCCTGTTTTTCTCTTCAGTCTTGTAAGTATAATATTTACTGTCTCAATTGTATTATCAGATTTCAACTTGCAGCTGAAAAACAAGTGGCCTTGTAGAATGACCGTGGAGTTGTTTGTTGCTGATGGTGATTGCACGACGTTTGCCTTATCTTTGCTTTTCTATTAATATATCTTATAGTTTGACCTGTAGGAGCTCATAATGGGTTGAGCAGATTAGACTATCACACACAAGAGTCAGTCAGGGGAAAAAAATGATGGTGTTTACCTTTACTAAGGAAATCATCAGAGATTTGTACAATGAGTTATTTACAGGAATGAAAAATTAGAAATTTCTTAGGTACCCAGAAGGAGAGAATTGGTTATAAATATTCATGTATACCCATACAGAGGAGTATCTATAAGATCACTGTTTTGTAATACATATTACTTTTATCTCTGCATTTACAAATGAATAGAAAGAAAATAGGAAGTGTATTCACCAAGGCATTATAGTAGTTCTCTATGTATGGGGAGAGGGTGCATAATATTTTTCTTCTTTATACTTTTTCTATTTTTCAAATATTCAGAAAAACATTAGTGCTATTTTCTAAAAGGAGAGTATACAGTTAACTGCTAAATTGTGTGACACAATTAGCTGCTACAGAGTTAGAGAATTGGAATAGTAGAAAAAGGCTTCAATGTCAGATGTGTATTTTGCAAATATTTTCTCCCACTCTGTTGGCTGTCTTTTAGCTCTGT